ATTAGATTCATAAATGCTTAAAGGGATTGCGACACGTTGCACTTTCATAAACCCCTGAAAAGGGTTGATAATTCACATAAACGTTCTCATATAACCTTCGAAACTCGGTCTAAAAAGGGTTGATTAAAATACTATACCCATGAGCCCCTCTCAGAAACGCTATTGAAAAGCTTTTATGGACGTCATGAATGGTCGCCAGCGTTTGTGAGAGGGTGTATGGAACCGATTATGGACCTCATAAACTGCCTGAAGGGTTTATGATAAGGTTTATGAAGGCGATTATGGACCTCATTGTTAGGGTTTCTCTTTCCCTTTCTCCTATCGATTTATGTAAACATGCTGATGATCTCTATGCACGAACTTTATTCTCAAATATAAACCAAAACTTTACATAATATATATGAATAAAGAACGCAAGAAGAAAGAATACCAATAAAGATGAAAGAAGATAGAAGATAGGGAAGATAGAGGATTATATGAAATAGGGATGATGTCAGCTTGCGACATCACCCTAACACTCCCCAACTGGATAAAAAAATGTATCCTATCATATTTTTTACTGTTGTGTGTAAATGAATCAATGACTAGTACAAATAGAAGTTAATAACAATATGAGCAATAAAGAAAAATGAAAACGAATAACAAGAAAACGAAAACGAAAAAATAACGAATCTGTGAGATTTGAAAAGAGAAATAGTTTCACGAACTATGAGTTCACATATAGTAATATAACAAAAATAGAAAGAGAGAAAAAATATCACGATTTTCAAAATGTATAACAGTTTATAGGCTATATGTAACGATTATAATTAAGGTTACAACGATGAATGGTATATAGAGAGAAAAAAATAGATGCATGAGAAACATTTGTTATAAATATTTCAATTACACGTGTAGATGATTATAATCCAAATCTAGTTGATAATTTTGTATGATTTAGTTTGTATAAACTTTTTCTTCTCGTTATCATTTTGTATTATAATCACGACGATTCATTCTACGATCATCTTTATCAGATGATCTATATTCACGTCGTTCATATTTTTATTTGTTGTAATGGTCAGTGGTAAATAATGTTTGTGTTTTAATATTATATTCTTGTAATTTATTTTTATCTCGTATGCCAATGTATAAAGTTTTATCACGATTAATTGAAGAAGAAAAATTTATAAGATTAAATAAAATATTGTTTTGTCGAAGAATCCGTTTGATATCACTAATTGAAAATCTTCGATCAATATTGCGACAAATTATCTCGTATTGATAATAACGGTGTCGTTGTTTAATAGTACAGGTTCTATTATGAATCTTTTTCCTTTCTTCATTTGATAATTGTTCGT